GTTCGAGACCTGCCTGGGCAACTTGGTGAGACCTCATCTCTACAAAAAATCAAAAATTAGTTGGGTGTGGTAGCATGTGCCTGTAGTTCCAGCTACTTGGAAGGCTGAGGTGGAAGGATCACTGGAGCCCAGCAGATTGAGGCTGAGGTGGCCGGGAGTGGCCACTGCACTCCAGTCTAGGTGACAGAGTGAGACTCCAAACTCAAAAAAAAAAATTACAAAACTTTTCAGGGCCATCCTTTCACAGACCTCCGGGGACGCCCTCGCAATACAAGGATTGGGGCAAGTAGGGTTGTTGGGGGTGGGGGGTGGAGGGGTGCAACACAACACTCACCAAATGACCACACATCCGATTTGCTGCTGTAGCGACTAAAAGAGAAGACCTCCGGGGATGCCCACTTAACCGGAAACTTGGTGCCGGTGGAGCTGGTATACTGGTCATCAAGGACAAACCTGGGGAGAGAGCGGAGGGAGGTGAGAATGTTCCAAGAGGCTGAGGCCCGCTCCCGAGACTTTGCTGGCACCACATCCCTGTCCTACCTTGTCATTCCAAAGTCTGACACTTTGATGACTTGGTTTTCTCCCACCAAACAATTTCGAGCAGCCTGGAGACGGGAAAACATGTAAGAGGTGACCAGTGATGAAGGAGCCTTCTCTAATCACAGTCCTTGGCTTTGCTGTATGATTTGTACAAGGGCATCTAAGGAGCTTTGCAAACGCCAATTAAGCTTTGCAGATGCCTGCTGGAAATCAACTAGAGAGTTGAGTGTGTGGGATCCGTTATCGGAACAGATAAGTTTCTCTTCCTTCCTGGATCCTAATTAGAAGGGAAATCCACTGTGTTGTCTGACCAACAATAGGCTCAGATGCAAATGATGTGCCTGAAACTGTTAACATCGGGAACAAGAGGAAGCACATGCCTCCCATCTGACTAAAGGAAGAAAGTTTTGAGGTTGCGAATCCTCTTAAAACCATTCCTCATAGGGAGTGTACCTGGTCCCTAATTAGTATCACCAGACGTTGCATTGAAAGGGTCCTTCGAGATAAAAGACAGCAGCATGACTCACATTTTAATGTGAGTACACATCACATGTGGGAATGTGTTAAAATGAATATTCCAGCATCCCAGCCACCAGAGTCTGAGAATAGTTTAAGGGTTACTACAGTGTGATTCTAGTAGGTCCTTGGGTAACACTTTGAGCCAGACTGTGCTTAATTATTTCTCTCATTTTACCAGGAGTCAACTGAGTCATGGGGAGGATAAGAAGGAGGGGCTGTCAGCTTTATTTTAGAAGAATGTAAACTGAAACTCAGAAGGTTAAATTCGAGGTAGGACTGGGATTAGAACCCAGATCTAAGTCCTCAGGAAGTACTAGGACCTCTCAAAGGGATGGAAGAAGGAAGGAGAGAGAGAGGAGAGGAGACAGCCAGTGATGTATTATTCATTAGCACATTCCCAGTCATTTCAGGGATGCGCCCCTTCACCCAGGACCTGAAGGTGTTCATGCAGCACATTCGTACCAAGTCTCTGTGGATGACACACGCCTCCTCCAGGTAGGCCATGCCCTCACACACATCCAGGCACATGCCCAGCAGGGTCTCCGCAGCAAAGAGCCCCCGCTGGCTGCGCAGATAATCTGACAGGCAGCCGTGCTCCATGAACTCGAACACCAGGCAGATGGGCGCCTGCTCCAGACACACCCCGTACAGCTGGACCAGTTTGGGGTGTGAGAGTTTCCTGGAGGAAGAAGGCAGCAGGTGAGATGGCCCAAACTCAGTCTCCCAAAAGTGCCAAACATTTTATGGCCACAGAATAACCGGTGGCCACTTCATCCAATTCATGGTTTTCAGAACCAAATTCATTCCCTTCCCCGACAAAAACGTGTCATTGGAGCCGAGACCTGATGGATAGCAGCTGGTGTGTGTGAAGATGAGCAGAGGCCAGTGCGGATAACAGGGCATGGACCGGAGGACAGATGGACAGGAACTGAGATGGGGAAGGTGAGCAGAGCCGGACCATGATGGGCCTCGTGGACCGTGGTGAGGAGTTCTATTTTATTCTCTGTGCGAGAGTAGGCACTCCTGGATTTGAGCAGGGAGGTGGCATGCATGATGTGAGAACAGTATTTAAAGAGCATGTACAGACTATATGGAGCAAAGGGAGTGCTTGTGCACCGTTGGTGGGAATGTAAGCTAGTTCCGTCTTTCTGGAAAGTGGTTTGGAGATTTCTCAAAGAACTAAAAATAGAGCCACCGTTTGACCCAGCAATCTTACTCCTGGGAATATACTCAAAGGAACACAAACTGCTCTACCAGAAAGAAACCTGCATGCGTATATTTATTACAGCACTATTCATGACAGCAAAACCACGGAGCCAACCCAGTTGCCCATCGAAGGTGGAATGGATAAAGAAAATACACATACACATGATGGCATACTAGAGAGCCATAAAGAAGAACAAAATCATGTTCTTTGCATCCATAGGGATGTGGTTGGAGGCCATCCCTCTAAGTGGAAGCAAACATCTGAATACCACATACTCTCATTCATAAGTAGGCACTAAACACTGGGCACATGGACACCAGGGTGGAAACACACACAATGGGGGAGCAGAGAGAGCTCATCAAAGACCCAAACCTCACACAATGTACTTATGCAGCAAGTCCACACATGTACCCTACTATTCTAACATTTAAAAGCTCTTAAATAAGTATTAACTAATAAAAAGAAATGTATCACTGCCTAAAATCAAACAAACAACACACACACACACACACACACACACACACACACACAGACACACAGAATGTCCTCCCTAGGGTGTCTGCCTACCCAGGTCTGGACCACTCACATCATGACTTCAGCCTCCTGTATGAAGTCCTCTTCTGACATAGCCCCTTCCTGAATGGTCTTGATGGCCACCTTGTCCTTGTTGAGCCAGTAGCCAAGATGCACCAACCCAAACTGCCCACTGCCAATCTCCTGCACGAATGTGAGCTCCGATGGGTCGATCACCCACTTCCCTGGAAGAGAGAGGGAGGAGGTTTTCAGGGTCAGCGTATAGGTCTGCCAGGGGATCATGTAGCCCCACCCAGAACTTTAGCCTATTGTTGATATAACTCAAAGACGGCAAATGATACAACTTCTAGACTTAGAACTATCATAAATCAATTATTATCTTTCCCCCCGAATAATAACATAGGATATGTACTTAAAACTATGGAAACATGGGCCAGTCACAGGCTCAGATCTATAATCCTGGCACTTTGGGAGACTGAGAAGGGAGAATTGCTTCAGACGAGGAGTTCAAAACCATCCTGGGCAATATAGCAAGACCACGTCTCTAAAAAAAAAAAAAATAGCTGGGTGTTGTGGTGTGCACCTGCTTTCCCAGCTACAGAAGGCTGAAGCAGAAGGATCACCTGAGTCCAGGAGGCTGAGGCTGTGGTGAGCCGTGATTGTGCCACTGCACTCCAGCCTGCATAATAGAGTGAGACCCTGACTCCAAAAAAAAAGGAAAGAAAAAGAAAAAGGAAGAAAAGAAAACTATGAAAAAACGAATGTGGTGAGTTTGCATAGAATGAAGATGGCATTAATCAAGACATTAAAGAAAATAAATGAAAGACTTCTTACAAGGTCCGGCCATTTTCTATATCTGATTATAATCTTTTTATTGTCATTTTCACACAGAGCAGATTTCATTTGAGCTGATCATCCATCCATCCATCCATCTGAAGCATCCACTATGTACACAACTCTCTGCTAGGCCTTAGCAGGGTTGGTGTTTAAAGAGGTGGGTGGATTCACAGAGATCTTATGCAGAGGCACCAGCTAGCACAGTGTCCGGCACGAGAGAGGCACTCAATAAATGTTCAATAAAGAAATAAAAGGATCCGAGTCGCAGTTTTCTCCCTGACAAAACGAGTGAGCTGACCAGATAGTTCCTGAGGTCCCATCCAGGGCAGGCACATCAGGATTCTATAGTTATTAGAACATCCTTATTTCCATAAGGAGGCAAAAGAGGCATTATTCTTCTCCAACGCTGGTTCTGGTCCATGAACAGCCAGATTTCTACCTTTTTGAGGCAGAGACTCCATAGCAAGCACTATCGAGCACCCACTGAGTGCCTGACAGTGCTGGTTAAGGATGAGAAAGTCCATGGCAGTGGTTCTCAAAGGGCTGCCCTCTGGCCATCTATATCCAAATCACTTAGCACATCTGTTTAGAATTGTAGACTCCAGGACCTCACTTTGCTATCAGGGATTGTGTTTGGTATGTGGCAGGTAGAATCCAGGAATGAACTTTTTTTTTTTTTTTAAGAGACAGGGTCTTGCTGTGTTGTCCATGCTGGAGAGCAGTGGTGAAATCCCAGCTCACTGCAACCTCAACCTCCTGGGCTCAAGTGATCCTCCTGCCTCGGCCTCCCAAAGCATTAGGATTACAGATGTGAGCCACCACATTAGGCCCAGGACTCGACATTTTTAATAGTATCCAGAAAACATTAATGTATGATGAAACTAGAGCCGCCAGCCTAAGAGATACAAAGTGAACATTAGAGCAGCAGCACACAGTTTGGACCAAAGGATGCCAACCCAAATGCCTTCCAAGTCCAGCCAGATCATCCCAAGTGGGTGAGCAGTGCAGCAGGACAAGAAGGTACAGTGGAGGCTGCAGATCTGGAGATACTGCCCTACCCAGAGGCATTTGAAACATTTTGACACACACACACTCAGCCATACAAACAAACCCTTCTATAGATGCTGCAATACATCAGCATCTTGCAATAAATCTATGTCCGACCAACTAGGTGACACAAACATTCTAGAAGATAGGTGGAAACAAAGTGCTAAGGCATGGCTCTCTAATATTTTTCCGATAGCATTTAGTAGAGTGATCTGTGCACAGTAAGTGCTCAATAAACACAGTCATTAATGAATTCTTCACTGAAGCCAATGGCCATTGATTTGGTCCAGATAAATGTGCTTCTATCTGCACACACGCTGTAGATATTCATTAGTGCTGCCATCCCCAGATATTGAGCATACTTGCTTTTGTGGTCATTGGAAGTCTGAGGAACAGGCAGGCTCATGGCAAGTGTATTCAGAATTTGCCCCAGAACTTTTGGGACATGAGTTTACATTCCGGATGGTGCTGCTCACCGTATCTCAGCCCTGCTGTGACTGGGGCTTTCTGCCTCCCGAAACAAACTGGATACCGGAGTCGCGTGACCAGGCCTGGGTGGATTGAAAAGCCATGGGTAGTGATTAGGGTTTTGCTATAGCATTCGTTTAAAGTAACTCACCAGACCAAAAATAATGATCACAATTGCAAAAGCTATGTTTATCCCAGAAAATGAATACCAGAGCCTGATCACTGATCTCACACCCTTATTGGAAAGATTAGAAGTATGGGTGGGCAGGGGGTAAAATCCCACGATTTCCGTGGCAGAGTTTTCCAGTGGAAAATATGGGATAGAATAAAATATTTAGCACCTTTTTCTTTTTTTTAAATGTTATTTATTTTATTTCTGTGCTTATTTATTTATTTTTGAGACGGGGTCTCACTCTGTTGTCCCGGCTAGAGTGCAGTAGTGTGATCCCAGCTCACTGCAATATTGGGCTCAGGCAATGCTTCTGACTTGGTTCGCGAGGAGATGGGGCACAGGTGCATGCCACCATGCCTGGTTAAGTTTTGTATTTTCTGTAGAGACAAGGTCTTGCTATGTTGCCCAGGCTGGCCCCTAGCTCCTGGACTCAAGCAGTTCTCCCACCTCAGCCTCCCAGAGTGCTGGGATTACACTGTACCAGCCATTCTGTTTATACATTTAGTTATTATTCGTGATCAGGAAGAAACCAGCTGGGCTTTCATCACTTTCTCCAAGTTGCCTGGGTTGGTCCCCTCTAGGGGGTCCCTAGATTGTCCCCTAGAACTCACCTCCTCCATTGTGTTGGTGATAATTGATGAGAAGCGGGATGGAATCAAACACATACTTTTCGGCCACATAGTATCGCTTTGGGTTGTCATTTGTTTCTTTGATATGGTAGTGCTTTATACAGGGATTGTTCTCACTTAAATAAGAAATATAAATGCAGGGTTAGTAAGAAGCAACGCTGAGACACAAAAAAAATCTACTGGTATTCGATTCTCATTATCTTTGTTTTTTAAGTGTTCACAAGGATGGCAGATATATTTTGTGGATGTCTGTTTTGACAGGTTGGCCCTGGGTGCTGCAGTATTATGTTAAGAAGGACTCTGAGGCTGTATCTGGATCCCCTAACTACAGTGCAGTCATGGTTTGGTGATGCTTCTTCCACGGTCATATAGTGGAGGGATGGTACTCCTTGGGCCATGTTTGCCTGCCCTGCTCTGTGAATTTAACTAATTGTCAGTACACATTGAGGAAGCCTCTCTGGCCCCTTCATGTTTATTTGACTTTGTGCAGCAAAGAGTTAACACAGCAGGCATGGCTGCTATCCTAAGAAAAACCTGCTCGCAGTTAACCTTTGGCTGGTGTTTGGGAACTTAGATTTTGAGAAGGTTCCCGCCATTCCCTACTTGATGAGGTGATAGACTATGCCTCAATGGTTTGTTGTAAACTGTGCACCAGGCAAACCTATGCCTGTAATTCCACCACTTTGGGAAGCCAAGGCAGGAGGATCACTTGAGCCAGGAGTTTGAGACCAGCCTGGGCAACATAGCAAGGCCCTATCTCTTCAAAAACTGGAAAAAAATCAGCCAGATGTGGTGGCATATGCCTGTAGTCCCAGCTACTCAAGAGACTGAGGCAGGAGAATTCCTCAAGCCCAGGAGTTCGAAGCTGAAGTGAGCTATGATCACACCACGCACTCCAGCCTGGGCATCAGGGCAAGACCTCAACTTCCCCCATCTCAAAAAATAAATAAATAAGCCCCAAAAGCAATGTGGTGTGTGCTGCACACCTGCTTTCCTTCTGGAAGTCTGGGATGTTGGTACACGCGAGGCAGTGGGCGTCTACGGACCCAGCCTCCACTGAAAACCTTGGGTACTGAGTCTCTGATGGGCCTCCCTGGTAGACAGTGCTTCACAGTGTTGGCAGTTTGTTGTCGGAGGACAGAAGCACGTCCTGTGTGACTCTCTGGGGACGACTCTCAACGGCTTGCGTGTGGTTTCCTCAGGACTTCACCTTCGACTTGTGCCTTTTACCTTTGCAGACTTTGTATCCCTTTGCTGTAATAAATCTTAGTCCTTGAAGTCCTCCTAGCATGGCCCGGGGTGATCTTGGGGAGTCCCGACACAGACGTCCTCTGTCATTCCTTCCCCATCACACCTTTGGGGTTGCAGGCCACCCTCCTCACTGTCCCCCAGCCACGGCAGAGACACGGCCCCTCTGTGATGTCTGCTGTGTTCCTTCCTGTCCCCGGATGGGGGCCCTTCCTCTTTGCCACCTGTCTAAGCCCTGTCCTTGCTCCAGGTTCTGCTTATGTCCTCAGTCTTCCAAGAAATATTCCCCCAGGCCATCTTGAAAATTATTTTTCTCTTGTCTTCATTCTCATTGCACTTTAGTCATTGCCAAACTGCTTAGTTCTTACTAATCTTCTAATTAGAAGAGGTTTTGAGACTCAGATAGGGTCTTACACATCGTTTTGCAGAGGAGGAAACTGACTCCAGAGATGGGCAGACCAAGTTGCAGGGGTCCTGCAGTTCAGCTTGGCTGGAGCATGGATGTGACTGGACCTTAGCTCCATGGCCTCTGGGACGCTCCATCAGCACTTTGAGCCTCAGTTTCTTCTGTGTGCAATGAGCATAGTAGCACCTGTCTTCAGGGCTTCTCAGGGTTGGAAACGGTCTGCGGAGATCTCAGTGCATAAGGGGATCGGTGAACGGTAGGTAGTCTCCTTAGCAGACCCAGGACTGGAATTCAAATATCTTTGCTTCTAGTTGGAAGAATCTTTTCTGTTACTCTATGTATTAAATGACATACTTATCCAATACAGCACCAAGCGTTTTATTTCTTTAGAATCCTGAAATCAGGGATGCTAAGGGATTGCCAGGAAGAGGACCTGGTGTCCAGCCCCAGCTCTGTCACTTTCCAACTAAGTCTCTTCGGTTCTGTCCTGGATTTCCTGGGCCAGGGAAAACACACCATTTCCAGTGAGCCTCTGCCTCACACACCATCTGACTCTGCTATGGGCAACCCTTGAGGCACCCTTTGGGGACCTGAGCCAAAGCCATACCTTACGACAGCCTTGGTGAAAACAGACACAGTGTACGTTCCTGGGGTCCTGGAATCCCGTACCATGAAGGCTCCTTCTTTGCCCTGAAATGGCCAGAAAGAATGGACAGGTTAGTGACTGCAGGAAACCAGGCTCATAACCCTGGTTCCATTTTCTTTCCCCTAAAATAAGGAAGTACTGCAGGCCAGCGTGGCCTAGGGTAGACTTTTAGCCACAATGACTACCATTTCACTTATTCTATTCACTCAACAGATATTTCTTGGTACAGATATTTCATATACGGGTCAGGGACTGTTCTAGTGCTAATGTGAGACCAGCCTGGGCAACATAGCAAGACCCCATCTCTTCAAAAAGTGTAAAAAAAAAAATCAGTCAGGTGTGATTGAAGCCAGGCAGACACACCCCTTGTATTTTTAGAGCTCACCATTTTACTGGACTCTTGACAGATATTTTCCAACCTTTACTGCAACATTGCAATTTAAATATTGTTATCCTCAATTACCAATGAGGAAACCTGGGTGCCAGAGAGCTTAACCGATATTCCCATGACCCACAACCAGTAACAGAGTTGGGATTTAAACTTTGGTGTGAGCAGAGCTCATGCTCAGTCTACTGTTCCATGATGCCTCTATTCAAAGGATGTTAGAAATCACGTCTTCATCCCCTCGCAAGGGCACAAAACCATCTGGCCTGAAAGCTTCATCAGATCCCTAATGGAAATGTATTTCTCTGGCCCTTTTTGAAGTGCAGATTCTGCTGCAGGGTAGAAGGAGAAAGAATATTCAGCTCCTGAGGGAAGTGAGATGAAGGAAGCACCCTGAGAACATACCGTTCACCACCCTAAAGACTTTGCCAGCACTGAGGAAATGAGAACAAGCAAATGGACATGCCAATTTATTCTTTCTTTTTAAATTTTTTTTTTGGAAACAGGCTCTTGCTCTGTCACCCAGGTTGGAGTGCAGTGGTATGATCACAGCTCACAGCAGCCTCGAACTCCTGGGCTCAAGTGATCTCCCGCCTCAGCCTCTCAAAGCTCTGGGATTACAGGTGTGAGCTGCTGTGGCTAGTCCTAGTTTATTCACTCTTGGTGGAAATGTAAACATCTGAAGTCTGTTGTAAGTACTTCATGTCTAACACGCGGTTCCTACCCAGCTGTAAATCTGAGCTGGGAACAATTGGAAAGCCTGATATTATGATTTACTTAACTTAGACATTACGAAGGCCCTAAGTGAAGGTCAGGATTAGAGAGGATCCTTGTGTGGAAGGCATACACTTGTAGCATATGGAACAAAGTCTATAAACTCTAGAACAGTTGGCCAGGTGCGGTGGGTCACACCTGTAATGCTAGCACTTTAGGAGACTTAGGTGGAGAAATCGCAGGAGTTCAAGACCAGCTTGTATAACACAGTGAGACCTCATCTCCACAAAAAATTAAAAAACTAGCCAGGCATGGTAGCATGCATTTGTAATCCCAGCTACTTGGGAGGCTGAGGCGAGAGGTTTCGCTTGAGAATAAATTGGCATGTCCATTTGCTTGTGCTTGTTTCCTCAGCTCTGGCAAAGTCTTTCGCCCAGGAGGTCAAAGCTGTGATGAGCCATAATCGTGCCACTGCACTCCAGCCTGGGTGACAGAATGAGACTTTGACTCAAAAATAAATAAATAAATAAATAAATAAAATCTAGAACAACACAAGCCCAGTCACAAAAGTGGATTGTCTGTGTGTGCATACACACACACACACACACACACACACACACACACACACACACACACAGAGATATACAAGCTCATGCTAACTGTTTGAATTTTAGAATCTCTGGGTTAGAAAGGGCCTTATAAAGACAATCTAGCCCAGTGTTATCCCAGCCTCAGCACTATTGACATTTTGGGCACAGTAATTTTTTGTTGTGGGGCCATCCTGGGCATTATAGGACATTTAGCAGCATCCCTAGGCTCTACTTTCTAGATGCCAGGCATGGTCAAATGTCCTCTGGAGGACAAAGTTACTCCTGGTTAAGAACCACTGATTACCTCCCTGAGCCCATGTGAATCTGAAACTTGAAACAAGACAAAAACAACACAACAACAAACAGCTGACTGTGCTCTAACAACCTCCAGCTTTAGGAACCTGAAACTTGAACTTTTAAATTTGCCTTGTGATTCTTAGTGACACCCAGACTTGGTGCCCACCGACTTAACTGGCATGCATGTCCTCTTTATAGTCATCCTAACAAGGAGTCTCTGTGTCTTCAAATAGCGCTGATAGTTAGAAAGCACATCCTCATACAGTCATGATCTGCTTCCAGTACCTTGGCCTGAACCCTGCAGAAGGCGGGGCTGGGGACAATTGGCTCTGACATCATTGTGCATTCTTGCCAAGCCTGTTATTTACCACATCAACTTTTGAGTTTGTGTATTTGAAAGATAGGCTTGTAATCCTGCCACCTTGGGAGGCAGAGACGGGAGGATCCCTTGAGGCTGGGAGTTGCAGACCAGCCTGGGTGGTAGCTTCCCTTTCCCAGGCGGTGAGCTTGGGCTGCCCTAGCTGCTGTCTGAAAGCAGGGGAAGAATGAAGGAAAATGAAGAACGTGATTACTTTCGAAGTGCTCCGTATACTTCGTTAACTGATGTGGGATTGAAAACCACAAAACTAGCTGGGTTTGGTGGCTCAGCCTGTAATCCCAACACTTTGGAAGGTTGAGGCAAGTGGATTGCCTGAGCCCGTGGGTTCAAGACCATCTTGGGCGACTTGGTGAGAACTTGTCTCTACAATAAATCAAAAATTGGCCAGGCATGGTAGTGCACACCTGTAGTTCTGACTACTTGGAAGACTGGGGCAGAAGGATTGTCAGAGCCCAGTAGGTTGACACTGGGTGGTCTTGAGCATGCCACTGCACTCTAGCCTGGGTAATGGAGTGAGACTCCAGCTTAAAAAAAAAAAAAAGAAAACAACAAAATTATACTTGTTGAAACACAATATAATTCAAGTTTTAATTAATTTTGCACTTCTCTCAACTAGTTCATGCCAGTCAAGTGTTCCAACGCCACTCAATAACAGGCCGGGAGGACCAAGAGTTAAGGTGGTTATACATGCATTGCAAGTTCAACTTGGGGGAAAAAAACAGCTTCCCAGGAACTAACCTTGAAAATTCTGATTCTGTGAATCAGGAGGGGGACCTGGGCATCTGCATTTTAAAATGTTTCCCAGCAATTCAAATGTGTGGTTTATTGCAAACCACAGGAAATAATTAAGGGCTGAGTTGATGTAGAACCTAGGAGAAACCAGTCTTATAATGACTCAGCTTGATTTCTTTTCCTCCATGAAATCTTTCCCAGCTCCTCTGGCTGAAAAACAGTACAGTTCTTTTTATGTTAAGTCAAAAGACAGATTAAGGAGACTTACTGTGTCTAAGAGAAGTTTTTCAGCTTTGTCTCGGCTGATACTCTTATTGTACCACCTGAAAGTGGAAAAAAGTCATGTGTAAATGACATTTTTAAAAGTTTCATTATTTACTTATAAAAGATAATACTAGATAATTAGGAAGTCATTTTCTGTTTCTACCAGTGCTATTAAACTCAAAAACAGGCCGTGTATAGTGGCTCATGCCTGAAATCTCGCACTTGGGAGGCTGAGTTAGGAGGATTGTTTGAGGGTAAGACTTTGAGACTAGCCTGGGCAACAAAGTGAGACTCCTGTCTCTACAAAAAATAAAAATTAGCCACGTGTGGTGGTATGTGCCTGTAGTCCCAGCTATTTAGGAGGCTGAGGCAGGAGGATCACCTGAACCTGGGAGTTTGAGGCTGCAGTGAGCTATGATTGCTCCACAGCACTCCAGACTGTGTGACAGAGTGAGACCCTGTCTCAAAATAACAACAACAACAAAACAAAAACCTCAAAAGCAAAGAAATAACCCATTTCCAGGTAGTAAATGCTAAGTTGGAGATGAACCAATGAACGAGAATTGGTAAAATATTGATCATTGTTGAAACTGGGCTTTGGGTACGTAGATATTCATTATATTATTCTCTTTACTTTTGCATATGTTGGAAATTTTCCACAATAAACTTTTAGAGAACATTTCTCTTTCTCTCTGTTTCATAAGTCAGTGGGTGGTTGTAAGAAGGAGTGTGTTAGACCAGCTATAAAAATGTAATTCCCAGCTGGAGTGTGGTGGTTCAAGCACTTTGGAGGCCAAGGTGAGGGGATTGCTTGAGCCCACGGGTTCGAGAACAGCCTGGGCAACTTGGCGAGACCTCACCTCTACAATAAATCAAAAAATTAGCCTGGCATGGTAGCGCGTGCCTATACTTGAAAGGCTGAGGCAAAAGGATCACTTGAGCCCAGCGGGTTGATGCTGAGGTGGCCATGAGCATGCCACTGCACTCCAGCCTAGGCAACGAAGTGAGACTCCAACTCAAAAAAAAAAAAGCAATTCCCATTTGAAGGTTTAGCAAATATTCTTTCAAAACAACCACAGAATTTTCCAAGACTGGTTTTCCACAGTGTCTGTAGAGTAACTGCATTTGTTTTATAATTCTGGTGTCTGGTGAAAAACAACTATAAAGTAGTTAAGGAGAATATGCATGATTTTTAGGGATGACTTTTTTAATGTTAATAATACTTAAGCTACATCTTAGCCTCTGTGGTTACTTATTAGGTAAGAGGAGGCAGAATGATCATCAATTAACAATGAATTTTGAAGATTAATAAATCCAGGAGTAGAGAAGTTCTAGGTGGGAAGGAACACCACTTACCAAACTTGCTTGCCATCTGCAAGTAGCCATGCATAAGGGAATCTGTGGATTCATTTGAGCTTCTTGAATTTTATATGACAGAACAGTGGCTGATACCTGCATGGGCTCCTGGAGCTTATCTAACTGAGGACGGACAAACAGGCTTCATCTTGTGGGCAAGCCCCAAATGATTAGCAGTGGCTGCCTAAAGCCATGCCTTGAAAAGTCTGTTGCCAGTCTGGGCACAGTGGGTGACAGTGTCACTATCCAAGAGGGATGTATACCTGAGTTCAGTGTGTGGGAAGAGACACAATTTGCTTTCCTTCAACTTGTCTGGCCCTTCATTTAACGGGAAGGGATCTGAGCTCAAACAGGGTGAGGTAACTTGCCCAAGATCATGATTCCAAACCAAGGCAGGCGGCCTGAATCCAATCAATTTTCCAACCCACAATTATGTTACCTCTTAAGTTCTTATGCAGATATCACCTGCATCTAGACAACATTAAGTTCAAGGATAAAAAGTCATCATACTGGATATTTCTTGTATATTCAGTTGTATACTAAATATGTGAATGTTTGCTTATAAGTCATTTTACTTTTTTACTAAGATCCGAAATCTGGAAAATGCAAAGTGACAGTCCACAGTATAAGTAGGGCCCATAGATTGTTTCATTTGTAAAGTATAGTGTTTTACTCAAAAAAATACTTAAAATATCTTTAGGTGGGTAGATGTACTTTTTTATTTGCTCCAGGCTCCACCACTCCCTATTGCTTTATATTTTGTTGGAATTTTGAGTTTGCTCTCACAATCATAAGCAAAGAGGTACTGATTAAAAGCAAAAAATAGACAAAGGAAGCTATCCAGCCTAGTGGTCCCTTGAAATAAAAGCATATTCTTTTTTTCTCCAAAGGCATTGACTATGAAAATTAAAGAAATGTATTTTATTTAAGCATATCTCATATCTGCTTCATTTCAGCTCAAGTCTTCTAGGAACCGATGACTCTTCTGTTAGCTGAGAAACCTACTTAGGCAAAAGAGCCTCAGAATGAGAGACTTCAGAAAATGACAGCCCTTCATATGAAAGAATCCATCAGAATTTCAGCAACAAATAACCTGACCTCATCTGAACTAATTAAAACCCTGATAAGTGAAGAGGAGTCCTCGTTACCTTATATCCCTCAGCCCTGGTATCTTATATTTGATGACTACTTAAATTTTAAATATTTTAAAATAATTTTAAACTTAAAGAAAAGGTATCAAATAGCATAAAAGAACTCTCACAAACACTTCACCCTGAGTCATCCATTGCTGACATTTATACATTGGACTTACCATTCTCCCTAGCTAGACATATAGATACATGTATTTTTTTTTCCTGAACCATTTGAGAGTTGATTTTTACTCACAAGAACTTCAGTGTCTATTTCCTGAGACATAGAGTATACACTTACACAATCCTGTACAATGACCAAAATCATGACATTGAACATATATATGAAATACTGTTACCAAACTGCAGACCTTATTACAATTTTATCAGTTGTCACAATAATGCATATTATAACCAAAATTTTTTAAAATTACTCAGTGTATTTAGGTCCCGTGTCTCTAGTCTTTTTTTTTTTTTTTGAGTTGGAGTCTCACTCGGTCACCCAGACTGGAGTGCAGTAGCCGCTCCCGGCCACTGCAGCCTCGACTGCTGGGCTCCGGCGATCCTTCCGCCTCAGCCTTCCGAGTAGCCGGAATTACAGGCATGCGCTACCATGCCTGACTGATTTCTTGATTTATTGTAGAGATGAGGTCTCGCTGCCCAGGCGGGTCTCGAACCCGCGGGCTCAGGTAATCCATTCACCTCAGTCTCCCAAAGGTGTGGGATTACAGGCTGAACCACCGAGCCTGGCTGTCTCTAGTCTTTTTTAAGAGGGACCAGTTTCTTAGCCTTTTGTCTTTCATGATACTAACATTTCTTTTGAAGAGCACAGAATATTTACTTATTTATTTTAATTCTGAAAAATGTGTGCATATTTAGAAGGTGCGGGAGCAGATTTCTTACATGCATATATTGATAGTGGTGGAGTCTGGGTTTTTAGTGTACCTATCAACTGAACAGTGAACACTATACTCAAGAGGTAATTTTTCAGCCCTCACTTCCCTCCTACCTTTTGACATCTCCGATGTCTTATTATTTCACTCCGTACAGGACATTTATTTTATAGAAATAGTCTTAATTTGGATTTGTCTAATATAATCTCATGACTAAATTCACGTTATGCATTTTTTTAGCAGTAATATCATAGGTAGGATGTTGTGTCCTTCTCTGTGCATCAGTCGAGGAGACACATAATATCTTTTTTTTTTTTTTTTGATTTGGGAGCCTCACTCTATCACCCAGGCTGGAGTGCAGTGGCATAATCATGACGATCATGGCTCACTACAGCCTTGACCTCCTAGGTTCAGGCAATCCTTCCACCTTAGCATACTGAGTATCTGGGACTACAGGTACACACCACACTTAGCTCATTTTTTTATTTTTTGTAGAGACAAGGTCTTTCTATGTCACCCAGGCTGGTCTCAAACTCCTAGACTCTAGAAATTCTCCCTCCTCAGTCTCCCAAAGTGCTGGAATTACAAGCATGAGTCACTGCACCCTGCCTCTTTTTGCTTCATTTTTTATGCACACTTTGATTGCTTGTTCAAGATGGGGTCTGCTATCTCTACTTTGTAATTATAAGTCATTTGTTCAAAGATACTTTAAGATTATATAAATACACTTTGCCTCATCAAACTTTCACCTCCCTAGTGACATTCATTGATGATTCATGCCCAAATCAGTTGATACTTTGAGTTACAAAATGATGACTTCTAAACTTTGTCATTGATTATTTGGCGTTCCAATAAAGGAACTTCTCATTATTTATTACTTATCTATCAATCTATGTATTGTGAATTCTTATATTATTCAATGGTTTGTAGTCCATGACTGTCATTATTTTGATACTCAAGCTGTCTCAGATTTGGTCAGAGGGAGCCTTTTAAAGCTGACTTCTGTGCCCTTTTGACTTATCTACATTATTTTAAAATATTCTTTTTGAGTACTCTTTTACTTCCCACACAACAAGATGTGCGAAGTTCACCTTGTTCTTTTCCTGCCCCAACTCTGGAAGCCCAAAGCCTTTTCTCCAAGAAGTCCTAGTTCTTAGTGGAAAGTATAACTAAAATCTGGGTGGTAGGTGTGCACTCCACTTCTGTGTTGTTGCATCTGGGCCCTTCGGTCCCCGAGGTAGGACACATGGATATGACGAGAACTTCATACACTACAATCAAACTTTCTTAAACATTCAGTAGTTCCATTAAAATTATATCCATGTAGCCGGACTCGGTGGCTCAGCCTGTAATCCTGCGCCTTTGGGAGGCTGAGGTGAGTGGATTGCCTGAGCCCGTGGGTTCGAGACCCGCCTGGGCAGCAAGACCTCATCTCTACAATAAATAAAAAAAAAAATCAGCCGGGTGTGGTAGCGCATGCCTGTAATTCCGGCTACTCGGAAGGCTGAGGTGGAAGGATCGCTGGAGCCCAGCAGGTGAGGCTGCGGTGGCCGGGGGCGGCCACTGTACTCCAGTCTGGGCGACAGAGTGAGACTCCAACTCAAAAAAAAAAAAATTGTATCCATGTGAACTTTTCTTCTAAAGCATGGCTTGGAAATAAATACTTCACACAATTTAAGCAGATATTTAATATTTGCTTGATTGTTGTTTTGGTATTGGATTTGGCATTGCATTAAACCATGTTTTAAGTTAATTTATGTTTCATCCAGTGTTCATAGTGTTTTTTCCACCTCAAGGAAGACCAATATTCCTGTTATTCTCAGTTGTAGGCTAAATGCAGGACATATACCCTGCTCCCCCTCCCCTGCTGATGACTGTTTCTCAGACTGGGAGAATGGCCTCTGGCCAAGGTCATCTGTGTCCTGCCAAAATGCCCTTGGAGATATGCACATATGTGAACTAAAGGCAGTAACTGAGAGTAAACATCTTTATTTCTGCTTCTTTGCACATGCTGCTATTGCTGTGTCTTGCTCCCTCTCCCATGCTGGGGATATATAATCTCTCCCTACATCCATTGGGTTGTGGAGTGCTTTGTGCCGACTGGCTGCCATCGGTTTCCTCCCATGAGTAATAATAAACCGATGTCTTTACCAATCTGTCCTCTGGGTGATTGCTTTGGAATAGGTAAACATTATGTGGGTACCCTGTCTGATTTGGAACTGCCGCCATATACCAGTAGAGCCTTTTAATGTTACCAAAATCTGTTCAAGGATCTGAGGATCACTGCCTTAATCAAAAGGAAAGTGGGAGCACATATCCCATTCCTCCTTCCACTTAAGGTGCTCTGCTACTGTTTATTTAGGGATCAGAGGATGGGAGAGAAGAACGTGGGCCAAGAAAAGAAAATGTCTGGTATTTTACGGTCAAGCAATAATTTATTCCTAACCAGGGGACAATTCCTTAGTATTAGATTTTCCAAAAAAACAAACAAAATGTCTTACTCATAGGTTTCCAGGTTATTTGGAGATTTTTCCACCAGGTAACTGCTTGGCACATATCCTTCATGCCTGTTGAAGGGAAAATTCGTGTTTAGACTCATATAGAACTTGTTTTTACATCTTCATTTGACAGGTTTCATCACTTAAAAATGAGGGAGTCCCGTACTATTTGACGTTTGTGGTAAGACATTCTAAAGTTTAGAATAAAAGAACTGGTAAAAATAGTAAGAACCTGTTATCTGCTGAAGGACATAGATCTCACCACTAAAGTATAAAATATAATAAACAAGAAGTGACTATTTTACCTTAAAAAGACTCTGCTTGCTGCTTCCCTTACTGTGAAATTTCCTCTATTGGAAAAAAAAGAAAAGTGTTGTCTCTATTTTTTATAAGGAAACATTTTTTTTTGGTGTGCTGATCAGTAATTTTTCCACTTTACTGCCATTACTTTATAGTCAGAAAACCAAAATAATTAAAATATAAAAGATGACTTTCCAACCACAGGTTCCAAAAGATGCCACCAGTTGGTAACGTAGGCTTTTTAATTCAAGGTCTCCCTAACTGAGCTTCTGCAGATATCAGTGGTATAGATATGAGAAAAAAGGATAAGGTCAGGCTGAGTTTGGGGGCGGGAGTCCCTTTTGAGTAAGAATTAATAATTATGCATAAACAAAAAACATAATAGTAAAGAAGTTCATAAGGCTATGGTAAATCCTTACATTTGTGTATAGGTGTGTAGCTTTCAAAGCACTTTCACATTGTCTCACTTAAACCATAAGGTGAGAGCAGTGTCCCTTCCACGGTCTGGACCTCTGGCTTCATGATTGTCAAAGGAGGGACTTAAACTAGTTTATACATAAGATACCACCCATCTATAACAAGATGGCTGATAGTTTCTTGCTCCTTACTCCATGAAGTGTTTTATTTTTTCTTATGATAAGGCCAAGATTTAGTTAGTGATTATGTTTATGGAACTTCCTTTGGAGAATTGGACATTTGAGCTCAGAATCATCCTTAACACAGTGCTCAAGGCAGCCACTGCAAATTGATAAAAAAAAAAACAGGTTGTTCTGAAATTTACCATTGCTTCTGCATCAATCTTTTGGACTCTCCTTAACTGTGTCTGGTTTTGCCACACTATATGTTTACAGTTATATGAATAGATCAAAAAAATGCTTGTTTCTGAATGGAATAACTGTGTTTTAATATGCCAACAAAAGCTGGATTATCTACACAGATGATGATAATTCTCATCACTTGCATGTGGGTATGTAGACTCTACAAATCTCTTTCACATCTATCATCTCATTGGTTTTCTCAACACTGTGAGAGACACAAAGCTGACATTACCATCTGCATTTTACAGATAAGGAAATGGATTCCTGAGGGTAAGTGACTTGACCACAGGCACATGTGACAAGAGTAGTTGATGAAGTCCACGTTCTCTGTCTCCTCATCTTGTGTACTTTCCCCTAAATCACACCATCACAAAGCAAACCAGGGAAATTCCCATAATGCTGGCTGGCTGCTGGGGTGTCCTCTTTGATGAACTTTGAAGTGCATCATTAAGCCTTTCCACAGGTCACTGAACAAAGGGAAAACAGTCACTTGGGGAAGTAAGACCTAGGAGAAAAAAATTTCCTGGCACCTTAGGTGTGCTAAATAATGCCAGTTGACTGAACCGATGAATTTCTGAGGAACTCTTTGGTGTTTGTAGCCCCAGGCCATCCTGAACCACCTTCTGATATGGGCCCCCATCCCTGGTAATGTGCAAAAAGACCAACCTCACTGGGTTCCATGAGTGAGCCAAAGAGGGAGGTTCCAGACGAGGGGCTTTGGGGTCTGTTCTTAGCTAACAAATTACTCTGCCTCTCAAATCACCATTTGGATCTCACCACCTTTTATACCACCTCACCTCTGCCTTCCTTCCCCCTGCAATGGAGTAGATAAGACTACTCAAAAAGAGAACATCTTGAAAATGCACATTTTGGTGTATGTAAACAGTAAAGCTTATCCTTAAAAATATTTGTGGCTCTCTTCTTTTACCCATCCGATTGGCCTTTCTTGTTGTTGTTAAAGTTTAATGTCATTTAGTGTTATTTACAGTAGCAAAGATATAGAATCAACCTAAGTGTCCATCAGTGGATGAATGAATAAAGAAAATGTAGTATACCAGCATTGTGAAGATGTCCATCCTACCTAAGGCAATCTACAGATTTAATGCAATACCCATCAAATTACCAGACACATTCTTCTCAGACCTAGAAAAAACAACACAGGAATTCATATGGAAACACAAATGACCAAGAATAGCCAGAACAATCCTCAGCAAAAAACAAAGCAGGCAGTATCACATTACCGACTTAAAACTTTACTAGAAAGCTACGATAATCAAAACAGCTTGGTATTGGTACAAAAATAGGCATATAGACCAATTGAATAGAATTGAGATTCCAGAAGCTAAACCTCAATTTCTCAACCAACTCATCTTCAACAAAGCCTCCACCACCTATCACTGGGGAGAGGAGAACCTATTCAGTAAATGGTGTTGGGAAAACTGGTTGACCACATGCAGAAGACTCAAACAAGACCCCTATCTCTCCCCATACACAAAAATTAACTCTAAATGGATCAGAGACCTAAATGTAAAACCTCAAATCATAAGAACCTTAGAAAATGCAGGACACACCCTTATCGAAATTGGAACTGGCATCCAATTCCTGAACAAAACCCGAAACACACAGACCATAAGAGATAAGATAGACAAGTGGGACCTCATTAAACTGACAAGCTTCCGCAAAGCCAAAGAAACCATCAAGAGAGCAGGGAGACAGCCCACAGACTGGGAAAAAATATTTGCCAACTCCAGGTCTGACAAAGACTTAACATCTTGGATCTACAAGGAACTCAAACGTACTGAAAAGAAAAAAACAAACAACCCCACTATAAAGTGGGCAAAAGATATGAACAGACACTTCTCAAAGGAAGACATCCAAGCAGCCAACAGACACATGAAGAAATGTTCAACCTCACTAATCATCAAGGAGATGCAAATCAAAACCACACTGAGACACCACCTAACTCCAGTCAGAATGACAATTATCAATAACTCAAAAAATTACAGTTGCTGGAGATGGTGTGGTGAAAAGGGAACACTCCTACACTGTTGGTGGGAGTGCAAACTGGTGCAGCCTCTGTGGAAAACAGTGTGGTGATTCCTAAAAGTTCTAAATATCAACCTCCCATATGACCCTGCAATCCCCCTGCTGGGAATATACCCTGAAGAACTCAAATCACTCTACCAAAAAGATACCTGTACACATATGTTTATCACAGCATTGTTCACAATAGCAAGAACCTGGAATCAACCATACTGTCCATCAAAAGAGGACTGGATTAAAAAATGTGGTACATATACACAATGGAATACTATGCAGCCATAAAAAAGAACAAAATCATGAACTTTGCAGCAACCTGTATGGAACTAGAGTCAATAATACTGAGTGACTTCTCACAGAAACAAAGATCTGAGTATCACATGTTCTCACTCATATAGTGGACCTTGAACATCCACCGTAATGCTATAAAAAAAAAGGCTGACAGTGTTGGGAAACTATGGGGGGGGGAAAGGAGGTGGGATTAACAGTAGTCAATATCTGTCTGGGGACGGGGAGACACCCTTTATCAACAAGGGTGCCTGAATGAAGCATATTTGTATACCTAACCCTTAACTGTACCCCACAATATCAAAATAAAAAATATTGAGATATATATATATATATATATATATATATATATATATATAAAAGAAAATGTAGTATATATACGCAATGGAATACCATTCAACCATCAAAAAAGAATATAATCATATCATTTGTAGCAGCATGGATGGAACTGGAAGTGATTATCTCAATAAAATAAACCAGGCACAGAAAGACAGAAACTGCATGTTTTCACTCAGATGTGGTAGCTAAAACTTTTTGTCACCTGATCGTAGAGAGTAGAAAAATAGATGAGAAAGGATGAGCTGGGGTAGGGAGGAGGCTGAGGAGAAGTGGGTTAATGGGTGCAAACATACAGTAAGATAGAAGGAATAAATTCAGTGTTTGAGTAGGGCTATTATACTTAATAAGAATGTATAGTATTTGAGTGATGGACACCCAAAATATCCTGACTTGGTCACTAATTTTTATGTAACAAAATTTCAAATGTACCTCATACATTTGTACAAATTTTTTTAAAATGGTACCCAGTGTTGGCACTTGTGTAACTCTGTTGGAAAGAAAGGAGACTTGGCAAGCTTTTTGAGGAAATTATCTATCAAAAGTAAGATATTGCATACTCTAATTCAACAGTTCCACAGTTAGATGTGTGACATACATAAGTATGTATTCTAAAGATGGCCAAGATACACGCATACTAGGTCTTCATTAAAGCCCTGTTGGAAATAACAAGGAAAACAACATTGCAGCAAAATGTCTCACACAAATGATTATTTAAATATTTATAATATAATCATATATTCTAACACTATACAATTATTTTTAAAATGAAGTAGAGTTGTATGTGCTGATATGAACAGATTTCCCATATAATCATGAATAGTCAAAAGCAAGATGAAGAGTGGACCATCTTAGCACAAATTAAAAAAGTATGTATTTGTATATGTATAACTTTTTGTTTAGGGTACACAAGAAAGTGCTAACAGTGATTACTTTTTAAATTGATGTGGGGGAAAATGGAGGGTGGTTTATTATTCATGTATATTTCATGTGTATTTCTCTCTACTGTTAGTTTTTTTGAAAATAAAATATTAACATAGATTATTCAGATGTTACAGTAATAAAATGTTATCTTTTTTATATGTCTAAATTAAAAGTAACCTAATATTTTGAAAACATGTAAGACCTTCATATTAATATACAAGAATGTTCACTGTGGTATTATTAATATTTTCAAAATACTGGAAACAACCTAAGTGTCTGACAAGGGAATTTGCCAAACTATGGTACATTTGTAAGCTGGATTTATGCAATCATTGAAATTATATTCTGGAAAATATTCCAGAG